AGTATTGTGTTTGCAGCACACCTTGCAATATATTAAATAAACATTGGGGAATAAAAAGAGCGTGAGGAAACATTTCTCTACAATAGGCCCTTTTCACATTTCCGCATTTTTTTCTGGAAGTAGTCGTTGCATGGTAACGCTGCTTCCGCTACAGCAATAACAATAACAAAGATGATGAGTAGAGCGTGTGCAGCTCACTCAAGTGTTCGAGCTATAAGCAAAAACAACCTTATCTCAGTGGTTTATCAGCTGACGGTGAGGAGAGGAAAAATAAGTTTATGCAGTTAACAAAGGAAGAAACTTTGTCATACAAAGTAAAAGTACCTCTGTGTCTGCATCTCAGCACTGCTGACTAACACTGACATGCATCTTGTGCTTTAAAGTTGGTGCTGCAGCCGCTTTCAGAGGAACAGTTTTCATTTTCTCCCTCAAAAGCTGTTGGTATCTGAGAGAGCGAGGGCTCAGCTGGGAGTAGGTGTTCATTCACTGGAGCTGGTGTTTATGTAGAATCTCAATTTATCACTCTGTAGACGTTAACTTAGCTGACATCACTGTACTCTGATAGCTGTGAAGGAGTTTTTTCATGAAGCATTTATATCCTTTATTTAGCCTGGACTCCCACACTGTGTGTTTGGTTCTCCAACATATCTAGACTCACGAATTTCAGTCTTGGCAACTATGATAAAGATGAAGTGACACACCTTTCTGTGGTGAGCAAAAGTGATACAAATGCCTGTATTTCTGTGGTTAATAACGGCCTGTAAGGCAACAGCGGAACTTGTTTTATGTACTTCAGTTTCTTGTAAAAAGGGCCTATTAAACAGTTGAATCCTGGTCTCATTATTCAGGTATTAGTCTTAAGACTCGTTCGGTAACTACATTTACATCTACATTTACTAGTATGATAATACATTTACAGTAACTAGTATGAATTATTCACTACTCAAATACTGTTATTATTAAATGCAGTCAAGTTGTTTCCAACCCGTTCTGACCATATGGATAGTGGCGGCCATATGGATAGTGCTTCTCCAGAATATCCTGTCTGCTGTTTGGGTTTTTAGGCCTCTTAATGGCTGGTTCTTGATTTCTCTAAATGTATCCATCCACTTGTAGCTCGCCATCTTTCCTTTTTGCCTTTGACTGTTCCAAGCATAATGATCTTTTTCAATAAATTGGTTCTTCTCTGAATATGACCAAAATAAGGGCTTCAGTTTGGTTATCTGGGCTTTGAGTGAACGGTGAGGCTTGATTTGTTTGAGAAGCCATCTGTTTGTTTTCCTTACCATTCAAGGTACTCTTAAAAGTCAGTGCCAGCACCAAAGTTCAAATGTATCTATATTTTTCCTGTCTCACTTGTTTACTGTCCAGCTTTCGCATCCATTCCTTATTATAAAACTGATAGAAATATGACAAGCTGCAGGTATACCACATAGAGTTAGTTGTAGTAAGAGTGCTGGTAAATAACAAGCTCACACTTATTTCACGCCCTCCTTGTATAGATTTAATAGAATACAACTGCCATCATTTAGTGAATTGATCACGTTTGGTATCAGCTAACTAGCTCTTCACAAACTCGACCTAGCAAAGGCAAGGCAAGCTTATTTCTATACACTGCTGTCATTCAAGGTGCTTTACAAATGAGAAAATACAGAGTCAGAAAGTACAGAGTTGTTTAAAAAAATTAAAGTAAATGAGAATAGAAATTGAAAAACATGAAAAACAATAGATTTAAAACAGAAATTAAAAATCAAATGAGAAATTAAAAGTTAGATTAGGAGAAGGAAAAGTGCCGTTACAGAGGAAAAGGGGCTAGAAACGCTAACAGTGTTTAAACTGAGCTGTATTTAAGTCTGTATTTAAAAGTGTCCAGTGTCGGGGCTCTTCTAATGCTGTCTGTCAACTGGTTCCAGATCTAAAAATATGAGGATCTAAAAAATATGAGGTAAAAAAAGACTAGGTTAGTGGTAGATGAGGTAACAGGCGCTTAGCATTTGCCTGTTTAACTACAGAGCTGATTGACTGCTTTTCTTGGTGTAAATGTAAAGTCATGCCTTCTAATATGGCTTTTTGTTTTCTCCTTCTGGGTTTAAACTCTTCTCACAGTAGCTATAAAATGTGATTTCTGCTTGTTGGAGGTCCCTCATATTAAACTATGCCTTTTTATATTTCGATTAGATGGAAATATGTATGATTTAAAAACAGAAGCAAACAGGATACTTGTCTTTGTAGGTTAGCAAGCAAGGTAACATTTATAAAAGTGTTTATATTGTGTTTAAAAGCTGTTTTTGAATTGTGTGTAAATGCATGTGTTTTTTGAAGTCACCTCTTTTACTCATTGCTCACTAGCAGCTCAACACCCATTTCTCACACACACACACACACACACACACACACACACACACACACACACATCAGGTGGTTTAGTTGGAAGTTTGACAGACATAGCGACAGTAACTATGGGAGGTGGGACTGACGCATAGAAATTTCTGAGTTTTGTGTGTGTTAAAATAGTCCTCTAGACACAGCCAAGCTATGTTTTGTTACATTACGTTATGTTGTGTTAAGTAGTGTAGCGTTTGTTGTTTAACTCTAACGTTTCAGTCCAGTATGTACGGTAATTCTGAGAAATTACACATACAAATCAGCCAGTTACATCTCTCTTAAATTCCTGGTGAAGCTAATCTCATTAAACGCTTTAATGTGCTGGTTTAAACCTTAAAAGTACACCTCCTCTGTCTGTGTGATTCCCTGAGAGATTCTGCTGCTGCTGTTAGACCTCGCGCAGACCAACACCTCTCAAAGAGATTCTCCTAATATTAGCCCAGCACACTCTTAGGTGTGGTTTATGCTGTGTATTTGTATTAGCATACCTCTGTTAGCCTAGCGCAGATTGTATTTCCCTAAATGTGATTTCTTGGAGAGACTTTGTTAGCATGTTACTGTTAGCCTAACATTGACTGGCTCTATTTATGTAATTTCTCAGAGCCTAATGTTAATTAGCCTAACAATAACATGTTAACACACACTTAAACACACACACACACACACACACACAGAAAACAGAGCCCTAGTTATTCTGATAACAGAGTTAGGAAGAAAGATATCTTGTGTAATTATATGATATCGGCTCCGTCAGCAGAATGGGCTCTATGTGGCCTAAAGAGGCTGCTTTAATGCACTAACACTAAAATGCTTATTTAAAAAAAATGTTGAAAATTACAAATCCAAGCTTTATTCTCCTTTTATGGAAAAGAAACAGGTTGAGAACAGTTAAGGCTCATCATCGTGGCCTTGTTTTATCCTCTTGGCCTTGTCTTTATTTCATCATCTAGAGGCCTGAGTTGACATTAGGACTACTATCTATACACCGCAGAGCTCAAGCAGCGAAAACATTGGCATTATCCTTTATTAACTCTGTCTGTAACTCAAACCGTGTCCTTCCCAACGGAATGAGTTTATTTACAGGCAGTCAGATATCAGCTATCAAACTGAATACATCACTGAGAATGTGCACCGTCCCACCTTCGTTACTGTTAATGTAATTTGGCTAATTTATGGTCTCCTTGTCCTTATACACGCCTGCTCTCTCTCTCTCTCTCTCTCTCTCTCTCTCTCGATCCCTCTTTCCATTCTCTCTCCTCTCTTTCTTGCTCTTGTTCTGTCATTCTCTGTCTTTATTTTCTCTTTCTGTCTCTCTCTCTCTCTCTGTTTTTCCTCACTCTCGTGCTCTTGCTCTCCCTCTCCTGCCCTCATTCTTTTCTCATTTCTCCATCCTGTTTGTCCTCTCTTTTCTCTCATGAGCAGCGCCATTCCCTCCTCATTAAATATTCAACGTTTAAATCCATTATTTAAATTTCTCAATGATCTATGGCCGCGCCATTAGCTTTTCATTCGGCTTCCCCACTTAAAGAAAACGGGGACAGGTTAGAAAAAAGAGAGGTGAGGAGCGATAATAATGACCAAACACATCAAAAAACCCATCCATCACTCCCAACATACTGCGCTGACTTTACAACGGCTTTACTTCACCCATAAGTCTGTTCCTCTGTCTGTCCATCCATCCATCCATCCATCCATCCATCCATCCATCCATCCATCTATCTATCTATCTATCTATCTATCTATCTATCTATCTATCTATCTGTCTAACTGTCTGTCTGTCTGTCTAGCTGTCTATCTATCTGTCTGTCTGTCTGTCTATCTATCTATCTATCTATCTCTCTATCTATCTATCTATCTCTCTGTCTCTCTGTCTATCTGTCTGTCTATCTCTCTGTCTATCTATCTAACTGTCTGTCTGTCTGTCTGTCTGTCTTTCTGTCTGTCTGTCTATCTATCTAGCTGTCTGTCTATCTGTCTATCTATCTATCTATCTATATGTCTGTCTATCTGCCTGTCTGTTGTTAACAACAAACCAGCAACAACAGTGATAATAATAATAATAGTAATAATAATAATAAATATGTTGTTTAAATTGTTGGCATAACAAAATTAGATATTTCAGTTGTGATATACATGAACCTCTCTTTTATTTTCCAGATGAAGTAGAAATGAATATTGTATCATTTAAAATGAACCTACAATCAAAACTGTATCTTGTTTTAAGCTTCATCAGTTCAGTCATTTGAAAACTCTGTATTCCTGTTTCCAGTGTGATCTTTCACAGACACACACAATGAACCTCATTTAAAAATTAATGAAAAAATATAAATGTAGGTATTTTCTGTTGTTTGCTATGTTTATCATTTGCTTGAATGGGATTTTTGCCATCATTCTGTAAAACTTGTCCTACTTGTACCTACAGCATAAACAGTAGCTACAAAGTAATGCATTCTGGGGCAGAGCATGAACAGGGGGATTAAAAACAGAATTCTAATGATTGATGGTCTTAGTGTTGCTTAAACTGCGTTTGATCACTATTATTAATGAAATGTGAGTGAACTGTGTTTCTGTTGCTGAAACTCATGTGATTTTCTCTGTTTCTATCTTCACTCAAGGTTTCCTCAACATTCAGTCATGGCCGGAAAACATGACAGACCTGAGTGTGTTCTCCAATCTGGCAACCATCGGTGGCCGATCACTATACAGGTACATTCACCTCAACAAGATCTTTCTCTCTATCTCTCTCCTGCTATCTTGAAGTCTGCTGAACTCAGAGAGTTCTGCTTTTCAGCCAAAGCCAGTGATAAACAGTATAGATGCTGTTTGGTATCTATACTGTTCACAATAGAAAGTATAATAAAGGCTCTGTCATCAGGAGATCGTGAGTTCCATCCCTGGTGATGCTACAGCTATACATGGCCGGAAGTCCAAGAAAGCACAATTGGCCTCACTCTGTGGGTGGGTAGGATGGCCCCCCATCTCTCCCCTAGCCAGTACAGGTGTCTGTTAGCTGATGTAACAGTTGCCGCTTTCCTCCAAGCGCGCTCAGCTGTCCAGTGACGTTGTGTTAGCAGCAGTTCAAAACGATGCAGTGGCTCTTCGCAGGTCTCGGAGGAAGGCTGTGCTGCCTTCGCCCTCCTAGCGCTGATGGTATCGTGTGATTGGGGGAGTCCTAACTAGTGGGTGGAATATGGATATTGAGGATAAAATTAGGGGAAAAAATCCAAAAAAAAGTGTAATAATAAAATGACACTAGATCAACGAAGTTACAAAAGACGGAGCAAAAGAAAGAAAGAAAATCTAAGAAAGAAGGAGAGAGAAATAAAGAGGGATTGAAACAAAATAGACAGCATGAGTTTCCCCAGTGATGCCACAGCCTAGCAGGAGTCCAACACAGCACTCTCTCTCTTTCTCTCTCACTCTCTCTCTCTCTCTCTCTCTCTCTCTCTCTCTCTCACTCTCTCTCTCGCTCTCTCTCTCTCTCTCTGAGAGCAAAAGAAAGAAAGAAGGGATGTTAAGATCGCTGTCAAAAGAACACCTGATAAATCTATGTCTGTATTGACAGCTATTAAAGTTTTTCCTTCTCCTGTAAAGTTAGTTTCATAGATTTCAGCTTTTCTTACAACAGCAATGATGAGAAAGCTGTAATATAGTGAATATAAGGAGGGTGGGAGTTAAGGAAAGAAGGTGAGAGAGACGAGGGGAGTGGAGAAAAACGAAGGAGAGAAGTAGAGAGGGGGAAAGAGAGGGAGGCGAGTGGATGAGTGGGCGATGCTGTGTGTTACTGGAGAGGAAAGCTGTCTGAAAGCTGCTTTGATGTGCTCTTCATCTCGCCTGCCTGGGATTAAAATCTGCTTCAGTGTTCGGTTTATAAAAATTGATCTTAAAACAGTGTGCGGCTCTGGCAGAGGAGGATTCCGACTAAAACCAGGATGGAGGGAAAACAGCATGAATCCGAAATGATCCTGACTGCTTTACTGTAGGACTGGGATGATCAGCCAATATGTGCATTTTATCAGCTCCACTTACCACATAGGTGCACTTTGTAGTTCTACAGTTACAGACTGTAGTCCATCTGTTTCTCTGCATACTTTGTTACCCTGTTCTTCAGTGGTCAGGACCCCCACAGGACCACCACAGAGCAGGTATTATTTGGGTGGTGGATTGTTCTCAGTGACACTGACGTGGTGGTGGTGTGTTAGTGTGTGTTGTGCTGGTCTGAGTGGATCAGACACAGCAGTGCTGCTGGAGTTTTTAAACACCTCAGTGTCACTGCTGGACTGAGAATAGTCCACCAACCAAAAACATCCAGCCAACAGCGTCCTGTGGGCAGCATCCTGTGACCACTGATGAAGGACTAGAGGATGACCAACACAAACTGTGCAGCAGCAGATGAGCTATCGTCTCTGACTTTACATCTACAAGGTGGACAAACAAGGTAGGAGTGTATAATAGAGTGGACAGTGATTGGACACAGTGTTTATACACTCCAGCAGCACTGCTGTGTCTGATCCACTCAGACCAGGGCAACACACACACAAACACACCACCACCACATCAGTATCACTGCAGTTCTCGTTCTGGCGCCTTACTAAGTTGTGACCACAACTTAATTATCTCATTCCCACACATTACTAAGGCGTGGCCACGCATTATTTTTATTTACATGAGTTGTCACCAGCAGGGCTCTGTAGTATCAGGTCCTTAATTTGCTGATCTCTCTCTCTCTCTCTCTCTCTCTCTCTCTCTCTCTCTCTCCCTCTCCCTCTCCCTCTCTCTCTCTCCACAGTGGGATCTCTCTGCTGGTGCTGAAGCAGCAGTGGATCTCGTCTCTGCAGATGCAGTCGCTGCGCGAGATCAGTGCTGGTAACGTCTACATCACCAACAACAGCCAGCTGTGCTACTACAACACCATCAACTGGACCAGCCTGTTCCGCATCCCCACCCAGAAAGCCCTGATCCGCAACAACCGAGACCCAAAAGAGTGCAGTGAGTGCAGTTTTTACTCATGTGCAGCACCTGTCGAAATGCTGGGGACACCTACTTATAGAAGGCAGCCCTTGTCCAATGTTTTGATAATTTTTTAAAGTGAAAATAAGTGAACACCTTCCTTAACAGAGAACCCACTAGTGTACAGTTTAATGCGCAATTAATGTTGAATTTGATATGTTGGGAAAACATAATATGTGGCCCCTGGAAAAGTTATGGCTTATGTTTATGTATGTTTTTTTTTTTTCCCCCAGAATGTTAAACTCAGCAAATAAATAGAAATTGTGTGTTCTCTCTAGAGGATGTGTTAAACTTGCTTCCTCTTAAAAAAAATCAACAAAACATGTAATCTGACTGGGGCATTAAAACTTTTGCATATAGATGTAGATTCTGAAAAATGTACATTCAGTCACACACACACACACACACACACACACACACACACACTATCATTCAGAAGTTTGGAATCAATATTCAAAACATAAAATCACAATGTAAAAAGTTTGTTGCAGATACATGTATAAAGCAATTTCATTCTGATGTTTGTACGCTAAAACTCCATAGGTTACAAACAATTTGTAAGAATCTGAAAAAGATAAGAAATTGTATATGTGTAGAATGATGAACAGAGCTGTAGATACTTGGTAAAGCACACAGCATTGAGAATAAAGTTATAATAAAATAGGTTTTAAGAGTGATTCATTCATGAAAAGCAGTGATCAAACCTCAAAAATAGGTCACTGCAGTGTATTTTACATTAAAAACTTCTTGCTGTTCCCAAAATACGTGAAATGTTGAATAAAACATATTAAAAAACTGAAATCATACTATTTCAAGCCTGTGTAATTCATTAATAAGACAACTGATTCCAAACTTCTGAACAGTGGTTTACACGAACACGCTTCTCCGTGTCCTTCCCCTCCCGCTGTGGTCCTGTGGAGTGATTTCTCCTGAGCCAGCGGTCAGCGGGGACAGACACGGGAGGGGGTAGGCGGCTCCTTGCCCCCTTTTTACCCGGATCACTGCTCCTCACTGAGCCTAGCGGGGGCCCAAAGAGTGCCACTTCCTTCACAGCTGGAAGGTCCGGGAGGTGGCTGAGAAGGCCAGAGGATTGCAGAGAGTCACCCTGCCTCAAAGAGAGCGTCCAGCTGTGCAGAACATGGATCACAGAAACAGGGGGATGGACTCCAGGCTAGAAATGTTTCGGATCTTTAATCCAACTTCCGCGCCTTGGCTGGAATTGAGCTGTTAATGTAGCTCCAGCCCTGGTCCTGATGTCCCCCCTTTCCTGCGTATTTTGGGTTTTTTCCCATGCATTTGCTGTTTAACAGGCCCTTTGTGATGTGCAGTGGAGTTTTAGAGCAGAAAAGATACTAAAACATGTAGTGTAGCAGGTTCTCTCAGGGACCAGAGTTAGGAAACTGTTAGGTGTGTTTGGGCAGGAAAAGCACGAACTATCCAGAGGCCCCCAGGACTGGAAATTCATAATTGATTGTTGTAGGAATATTATAAGATTATTTAACTTATTTCTAGACTTCTTTGCTTGTTCTAAGTAACTTTATCTCATCAGAGAGTCTGATTGCATTGGCAGATCATTTGACTTGTCTCAGGCTTTATTTCTTAAAATAAGCAAAATTATCTGCATTATTTGTTAAAACACCATAAATGATCAGCCAATAGAATAAGACACTTTCTCTGCACAAAATTACTTAGAACAAGCAAAAATGTCTAGAAATAGGTTGAATAATCTTATGATATTCTTACAACACTCTCACGATGTGAAATCTTTTACATTTATGATGTTTTCACTTGCTAAGACATAATTTTTTTAGCAGTGACTGCAATAATCAAGATCTTAGATATCACTATTTTCCTCTGGACAAGACCCTTAACCTCTACTGCCCTATCTGCTTAGCTGGTGATGTGCTGCCCACACACTGGGTGTTGTTAGGCAGCAAAATGAATGATTTCCATGTAAAATGGAACAATGAATAAACTAATATAGCCTGTAGATCATGGAATATATATTTACAAGCTAAGATAGTCGCTGGTCAATAATTAGTCAACAAAATGTTTTTGACCATTTTTCACAGAAGCCATGAAATGATTTACATCTGTTTCAGAGGTTTTTCAGTTGAACGATGCTTTTTTTGTTCAATAATGTTAATGCATTGCAAAAAATAGTATCTCGGCATGTACAATTATCTTAAATGTACTCAATAAATCAATAAATCTAATATTTCTCTTGTCTGTTGTTAAGATTGGTGTAAGCTTGTTTTAAGATTATTTAACTTATTTCCAAACATGTTTTACTTATTTTAAGTAATTTTATTAAGTAAGATTATCTCACTATATTGGCAGATAATTTTGCTTGTTTTAACAAGTTGCAAATTGCTTGAAACCAGCTAAATTATCTGCCGGTATGGTGAGAATTTTTCTTGATAAAATTACTGAAAACAGTTAAAAAATGTCTGGAAATAAGCTAAATAATCTCAGAAAAAGAAATATTAGATAGATCAACTAGAATTGAGATAATTTCACTTGACAAGATACTATATTTTTGCAGTGTGGAATATATTTCAATGGAAATGTGTATGATTGACAAAACCAGACCAAAACCAGTTTTACATTTTTTTGTGTATGTTTAATACTGGTTTTATTGTAGCAGAAGACAGACAATAAAAAGACCACAGAAAGCAGAATCGTTTGATTAGTAAATTAGTCAATTGATAGTCTATAGATGAATCAATTGCAGAATCAAGTGTTAGTTGTAGCCCTAAGTGGGAGTCCGGCATCAGTGCCCCCAACCCCAGCGGGGTCAATAGCTTTGGGTGTCAGATTTAAACTTTGTTGCACTGATTGTGATGAAGGGAGACCCAGCAGATCCACAGGTTAGTTCAGGAAACAGGATGAGTGGGATGATGAATTCATGCCAAGACTGTTTGCGCAATGGGTTTTCAGCAGTGATTGACCAGTGAAAGCTTTGTGGTTGATGTTGTGCTTCTGTCCTTCAAAAGTGCTAAAGGAACCCAGGACACTCGGACATGATGCAAGCTTTGGTGAGGTTTTCTGATTTAAAAAAAGTGAAAAGTGGCCCCAAGCTAACAAAGCCCACTCGTTTATTTCATCACCAACAATCCAATTACCCGCCTGCCGCAAATGTCGAGTCATTCCGTGAACTATTGAGCGAAATTAATTGCAGGGAACACCTGCAACAGTATTTTGACATTTTCAGAAGTTTTCTCTGGTGGTGGAGGCTATAATCACCAACGAGAGTCAGCACACACATACACATGCAGTCCCTCCTCCACGTCTCTCACTCTTCTCAGCCCCGAACGATGTTTCTCACTACTTTTTTCTTTTCTTTTCACTTCTACTATTCTTTTTCTTTTCATCATGCGGGGTCTTATGATGCAACAGTGATTGTTAGCGTCTGTCAGCAGCGCCTGCTGGGATCCATCCGGCACCTCTCCGTCTCCTTGGAGACTGACCTGGCTTGACTTTTGGCTTCAGTGTAGCCCAAATAGCCCAAAGAGTCCGAACTTTGATGTTACCATGATGTTTTTGATCCCTCCGCCTTACAGTATTGCTGAACCAGTCCCGCGACCAAAGCTTATCTTCTGATTTCAGCAGCCCTGGTTAGCTCTCAAAACCGAGTCAGCACAGGAAACGAACAGAGCCACTCTTGAGTCTCTGAAGGAACATCTAAGCCTTTTCGTACACACCACCCTCAGTGGGCTTCCTTTAGTTTCCCTTCTTTTGCTCGCAGATATCAGTCACACTTTATTTGTAGATTTCATACAAATTTTTGTTAAAATTGAAAGAAGTAGCTGGAACAAAAACAAAAAACACAGGAGTATTTTGGACCATGTGATGTCTTTACTCATTAATATCACACGTACAGACTCAAAAAGAAGGTCCAGCTCGATGTTTAGGTGTCAAATGTAAGCATTATACTGATGAGGATATGATTACAATAATCGATAATTCACTCACATCCTTAGAAGACTTGACCAAAGTTTAACTGAGTTCTCTTTGAACTCACTTTTAACTCATTCACAATCATCAGATTCATCTGCTCGGGGAAGGGGTCCGAAGTAGTGGTCTGTGCAAGATTTCCTCCTGCTCCCGCAGAGAATCGGAATCATTTGTCCCGCTCCCGCCAACCGAAATGTTTTGTCCCGCTCCTGCTGCACAGTTCTGTCAAGGTGAACTGACATCCAAGACATAGTCTATTCACAAACACATCCTCTGCTGAAATAACATGGCAGTCTTGGGCATCAGGCTCACTGTGAGCAACTTCACCAAACACCATTTATTCCCAGTAAACACACAGCAGGAATTAAACCACAGAGCGATTTTTGGTGTTTTGCTGGGCCGCCGGACTGAAGCTGTAAGCTGTGAGATTTTGCGTGTTGTTCATGTGATCGGCTGCTTCGCAACTCTTTAGAATTACATAATTTTAACTGTTTTACTGTTATCATTCTATATTGTTTATATATGTGATTTAGTGATCGTTCTTCTTTATTTAGGCTGTTCATTAATTTGCAGAATTTCTCTTCATGCCCGCTCCCCCTGTAGGGGACTGGTTTTCCGCCTGCTCCCGCATGCAACACTGAAAATTAGTCCCGTACTGCAAGATATTGAGTGCAGACCTCTAGTCCGAAGCACAACCCACATTACAAAATGTTCTCTCACACATTGCATGCAATTACACATTTCCACCAGAGAGGTCTCCAAATCCCAACAGCTTACATAGTGTAGCTTCAACAAACTGTCTGGTAGGGATGGGTTAGAATTAGCTTGGCTTAGGTTTTGGACTGAGGTTAGGGTTAACTGCTTAAAACCTCAGGCTTATTACATACCAAGGCTTATCATTTTGTAACTACAGGGACTTCAATGCAGACTGGCTGAACTATTCTTAAGTTAAAGAAGTGTGGAATAAAACTTTGGGTCCACCGGGGGGCCCTGACCATTTAACAGGTTAAGGTTAGAGTGAGTGTTAGGTTGAGAGTTTCGTACCAGGCCCATAAAACGCTGTAACATCATTTCAAGTTCAGCATGTAGAACCGGAGCTCTCTGTGTGCTACCATGTTTTCAGCTAAGTATAAAAGATGGACGAGGCTTCCTTTCCTGTTGGATGCACCATGTTTTTTTTTTATTTATTTATTTTTTTTATTTTTTTCAAGTGAGCGTGTGAGCTCATTCAGAGTGCAGTTCTGCTTGGTAAGCGCTTTTTATTAATGTGTTTAATCAGAGTAAAGATAAGGCATCAATAAAGTGGAACTTCTATTCATTTGTTTTCTTTTTCAAAATGTTTGTTTGTGACATGAATAAAAAGTAACACTTAATGATAGTTTATAAGACACTTATTAGCACTTTCTTCATAATTAACTATTCATGAACTAATCAGGTATTTAGAGTTATTCCACATTAATGAATACATTAAATTATAAGAGACAAATAAGCTTAAGGATGTAGTCGTGAGCTGATTGATTTTAATAAGTAACAACAAAGACTGGAAACATGTGAAACATGAGAGCTACTTGTACCAAAGACAAAAATAGAAAGCACCTGGGAGAGCAGGGTAAACTACACACAGGTGGGAACACTTACATTAAGGTGGGGCTACAGGGGAGGAGACAGAAGAGGGCGGAGCCAGGGACAGGACATGGTGACATCACTTTAGATTAAGGGCTGCAAAGATAATGTCAATATCTAAAGATAATGTCATTTGCAGGCCACAGACACTTAATGATTTATATTTATAAAGCAATGTAGATGTATTAATTAAATGAATAGCTCTAAATACCTCATTAGTTCATGATTGATCAATTGTGAAGTAACAACTAATGGATGTTTTACAAGCTAACTTTATTATACAGTGTTACTGATAAAAAATTGAATTTAGCTTTGTTAGATTGTGATGTTTTGATGGCAAAATATCAACGCAACAGTCGGAAATTATGTGATTAAATGGGGAATTAAATGGCAGATTAAATGGCAAAAATTGAGTTGTCCATTAGGAGTTACAGATAGGGTTAAAATAAGTGTTATGTTTAGGGTATTTGACCCTTTGACCCTTTAACTTTATTGTTCAGTTATGAATCTTTAAGTCAATATGAATCTGAAATCATTTTTTGCGGTGTAACATCAACTGTTGCCATCTCTCGTTTGCTGTTGCCTGAATCACTCATTCAGTTACACTGCAAAAAAATGGTATCTTGTCAAGTAAAATCATCTTAAATATAGTCAAGAAATCTAATATTTCTCCTGTTGAGATTGTTGTAAACTTAATTTAAGACTGTTTATTTCTAGACATTTTTTTACTTGTTTTAAGTCATTTTATTAAGTAAAATTATCTCACTATATTGGCAGATAATTTTGCTTGGTTTCAGAAATGTGCTTGAAATCTATATCTTCCAGTGTAGTGAGATAATTTTACTTAATAAAATGACCTAAACAAGTAAAAAACTCCAGAAATAAGATAGATAATCTCATAAAAAGTGCACAACCATCTCAAAATGGGAAATTTTAGATATATCGACTAGATTTAAGATCTTTTCACATGACAAGATACCATTTTTTGCCGTTTTAAAATATCAGGACGTCTCCGATCATGTCAGAGCTCAATCACACATCCAGCTCATCCACCATTAATCGCTTCTGATGGAGCTCCCCAGCTGGATAACTGCTACAGGTTGTGAAAATTTGTCAGAGGGGATAAATTCAGGATGAAAATTGGGCTAAAAATCATGTAGTAAAGGCCTGGCTTTATTGTACTGCTGCTGAGGTGAAGCGTTGCCATGTTGGAGCAAATCCCTCCCCGCTGACCATTAATGTTTCAGAAACGTGGCCGGGGGCGGTGAGGAAACGTCGTCTCTTAAAATGCCACTGTGCCGAGAAAAGGTAGACGTTGCTCTGACTAATTTAGGTGCTCCATTGATCAATCAAACGCAGAAAATCCGAACACTCTTTCAAACTTTTCAGAGATGGTTTGTGCGAGTTTTAAACTGAAACAGTCCAACAGCCCCAAAGTCATTATTTTCTCATTCCAGCAGCTCCTCGGGTTCATTGTAGGAGAGTTGCGCAGGTGTCTTCCTGGTCTGGCGTGCGCACGTTTGAGTTGTCTCTGAAGCGTCAGCAGTATTTTAACACGCTCTCGCAGCTGCTGCTGTATTCTGTTTCTCAGTGGGGTCTCTGTCTGGACCAGCCTGTCCTTTCTCAATCACATATCCCCACATACCGCACACGCACCCCCTCACATCAGCATTTCTCATTCAGATACATCAGACTTTATCAGCTCTCCATTACAGTAATATATGCACGACAGTGTCGAGTTGGATACGCCAACCCGGATGAACTGTACAACTCAAATTATGACAAAAGATCCTACGTTTACATCTAATTCCTGCCAGAACCTCGAGACGGGATAACAAATTACTTCTCTACCTGCTTTGGAAAACTTCCTTCTTAGAGAAAGTGTGAGTAGTGAATGAAAAGGTTTCTGGAAAGTGTGAGAGAACACTGTTTACAAAAAAAACAAGCTGGCAATGAATCACATTCAGGTGCTCACATTCAGTCTGCTTTCAGTATGAATAGTTGCAGAGCTGTGGAAACCTGTTACCTGTTATTAGGTACTTGAACATTTGCGCCTTACCTAAATATGTATTAAGTTCATTGTGTTGGGAAACAAAATGTCAAACCAAATGGCATTTATTTTAGGCAGACTATTCCAAGGCCCAATCCCATTTCTCATTTTTACCCCTACTTCTTGTTTTTGTGTGTTGCCCCTTGGAACTGAGTTACAGGGTTTAGTGGTTGAAACTTTCCTCTATGAAATGGGACCCTAAAATAAAAAAGAGTGTTACTTCATTAACAGCTACCAGCGCTGCTCTGCAGGCGACCCTGCCAGTCTGCAGTGATAGCAGAGGAGGGTAAAGTTCAGCTCCTCACTGCTGGGGTTTAGTTACATTTAGGGCATCATATGCCTTCAAATGGGGGGGGGGGATTATTTATTATATTCTTCAGTGATATGAGGCTTAATTCAGATGTTCACCAGCTTCTTGTTAGAATTTTCCCGTTCCACCTTAAATGGAGCATTTAACTATTTAAGGCGGAACATTTAACCAGCTAGATACGGAGACATCAGCATACTATTAGTGATTTTTTATGCTTGTTATGAAGAAAAGAACCATAATACATTGAGACGACATTAAACTGAGATGATTCAGTGGTTATCGTAATTTTTAACAGAGAAAATTCTCACATTTGTGGGTTTCTTTGGTCGATTTGGAGGGCCGTGCAGCCCTGGAACTTGGCCCTACCCCTCTATCTCAACAAAAATCAGGACACCCTACCCCTAGGCGTCAGCATGCAAAATGGAGGGATAAGGCCTAAGTGGTAGGGTAAGGGGTGAAATGGGATTGGGACCGAGACTGTACTTCTCTTTTCTTTCAGAAAGTTTCAGATTGTTGTCGTTTGAGCAGTTCTTTGCAGACGTCTGTAGGTTTGCATCCAAAATGCCTTCTGAGTTCTCAATCCTATCAATAAACACAAACTCACAGACTGCATGTCGAAGAGCAGCACTGGACTTTGACATTTCCACCTCTAGGGTTTACAGTAGCTTTAGGTCAGTCTGGATGGAGGTCTTTTCCATGCTTTGTCCGCTGGAGATTACCTTTAGTTTGATGTTGTATTGTGTAAACATTGTTGTTTAAGTTAGTGTTCAGTCTGCCTTGAGTTGACATATAACACAGATTCTTGTTCCGTTAACTTACGGATCGAAACTCAATTAACGTAAAGTTTTAAGGCAGCCCATTTCTCACAAAGCGGCCGATCAGTGATTCTACTACTAATGTACTTAAACAAAAGCACATCAGCAGCACCAGCTGTGAGTAACAGGTTTCTGTTGTGTAATTGCTGTTTGTAAAATGTTTTTGGTCTGTGTTTTATTATCTTTTAGTCATGGAGAGGATGATCTGTGACCCGCTGTGTTCGGACGCTGGATGCTGGGGTCCTGGGCCGGACCAGTGCCTGTCATGTAGATTCTTCAGTAGAGGGCGCACCTGCGTGGAGTCCTGCAACCTTTACCATGGGTGAGTTCTTCTCTTCTCTTCTCTTCTCTTCTCTTCTCTTCTCTTCTCTTCTCTAATTTCTTCTTCTCTTCTCTTCTCTTCTCTTCTCTAATTTCCTCTTCTCTTCTCTTCTCTTCTCTAATTTCTTCTTCTCTTCTCTTCTCTAATTTCCTCTTCTCTTCTCTTCTCTTCTCTTCTCTAATTTCTTCTTCTCTTCTCTTCTCTTCTCTAATTTCCTCTTCTCTTCTCTTCTCTTCTCTTCTCTAATTTCTTCTTCTCTGCTCTTCTCTTCTCTAATTTCTTCTTCTCTGCTCTTCTCTTCTCTAATTTCTTCTTCTCTTCTCTTCTCTTCTCTAATTTCCTCTTCTCTTCTCTTCTCTTCTCTAATTTCTTCTTCTCTGCTCTTCTCTGCTCTTCTCTTCTTTTCTCTTCTCTTCTCTAATATTTTTTTCTTCTCTTCTCTGCTCTTCTCTAATTTCTTCTTCTCTTCTCTTCTCTAATTTCTTTATCTCTGCTCTTCTCTTCTTTTCTCTTCTCTTCTTTTCTTTTCTCTTCTCTTTTCTTCTCTATTTTTTTCTTCTCTTCTCTAATATTTTTTTCTTCTCTTCTCTGCTCTTCTCTTCTCTTCTCTAATTTCTTCTTTTCTCTATTTTTTCTTCTCTTCTCTGCTCTTCTCTTCTCTTCTCTAATTTCTTCTTTTCTCTATTTTTTCTTCTCTTCTCTAATCTCTTCTCTTCTTTTCTCTTCTCTTTGCTTTTCTTCTCTAATTATTTCTTCTTCTCTTCTCATTTTTAATCATTTCTTCTCTTCTCTTCTCTTCTCCTTTCTTCTCATCTTTTTTCTTTAATCATTTCTTCTTCTCTTCTCTAATCTTGTCTAATTATTTCCTCTTCTCTTCACTTCTTTATCATTTCTTCTTCTCTTCTTTTCTCTGGTCTTCTCTTCTTTACTATTCTTATCTCTTCTCTAATCTTCTCTATGTTTCTTTAATCATTTCTCCTTCCTTTTTAATCATTTCTTCTCTTCTTTAATCATTTATTTTCTTCTCTTTTCTTTTGTCCCTCTTGTCCCTGTTTTACATCTTCCCGTTCTACAGATGCATTTTTCCATAGTTTCATGTTTTAGTATGTGTATATGAATTGCTCAACCATAAAGTGTCCTGCTGGTGTATCTGTCTGCTGTGAGATCATCTGAATGAGGCCTGCCTGTGGATATGTATATTCATGTTGACCTGAAGTATATGTCTTGCCGTGGTTGGAGCTTGTCCCGACCTCAGGGGATCCGAAATGGACTCTCGTCTCTCTGACAATCTTTTTTGGACAAACAACAAAAGCCTCACAGCGGTGTTCCGTCTGTATTCGGGGAGCCGGTGGCAATAATGGAATGTGTGTTTGGCACGGCTCAGAAATAAATTACATTGTGTGTATGAAGCAGCGGGCTTGGACACAGATCCTACTTGAGACCGAGCCACCAGTGAGAAATGTCCCTGAATGATGCCGGGGCTGGGAGAGGGCCAGATTTGTGTGGTTTTCCCATTCAGACTCGGATTTACTACTCATATAGGGAGGCGTGCTGGAAAATGTATGAAGAGATGCAAACACACTCAGTGCCAGATGTACATACACGAGACAGTGTCAATCAAAACGCACTTAGATGTGGTTGCAATTGATCGTTTGCAAAACAATGATTGACTCACCTCTCAGCCTGTCACAGCTGTTCTAAGCAGCACGAAAGGTGGGCTAAGAAATGGAAGGTGTTCCTGAAAAAGGTGTGATGCTGTCGTGATTATCTGGAGGTGACCTTTTTGATTTTGTTCCTGAAGCTGAAAAAGTGGAAGACCACACTCAGAGCTCAGTGTCAAGCTATTAAAAGGTATAACATTGCCTGTCTTTGCTCTAGGACAAGCTAAAATTTATCTAGATTACTGTATATACTAAAGCTCAGTTTCATATAAACGTCATTACGCAATGTTAAGATCAGTTAGCTAGCTGAGTTGGCTTTTTCTAACTTAGATTTTGACAGTTAGCTCGATAAATAGAAGTAAGGAGGACTGTACAGTGCATTTGTGAATAAAACCATAAGATCTAGGAGTTTTGCGATGGTCATAAAGATAAAAGAGAAACGTTTAGCGTTTAAACAGATCAAGTCATGTTATTTTCTTTCTTTTGCTGCTCTTTTGTATGCACAACACAACTTCAGAGTAACTTAACTACACGAGAAACAAAAATAAGTAGGCTTCCCTAACTCCCTGCCTAGGCCAAAAACAGTAGAAAACATTGGGTCAAAAGAAACGGCACCCACTATACCCTGGTCAGCATAAGAGAGTAAGAGTTACAGAGGTGGTTCCTGAGCTTACTGTTAAACAGTGGAAGTAAACTGGGCAGAAGACATAGTTAAAATTAAGCTAATAAAGCTTATAAAGCTTATAAAGCTAATAAAGAAAACAGACAATATACCAGCCATAAAACAAACATCTGTCTGAGCTGCCGTTCTGAACTAAAACGTTTGCCCCAAGCCGCCATGGAGGTGAAGCCTTGAGGAAGTCAGAGCCAGCTGTGGGAGAAATACCCCAAGCACTCGCAGCCAGCCAATCAGATGCATGTATTGTCACAGGACTTCAGCCAATCACATGCACGAGTGGGTTCCTAATGAGAAAGAGAGAGCAGGAGAGAAACAAGCAAAACAAAAACATACATCCTAGGACGTAACAGCATTAATGCACTCGTACTGAAGCTGCCTCTTATATTGTTTCAGTAAGGTTTAGGCTGTGTGTAAGATAGTGAATCCTCTTTAGCATCTAACGTTGCACTGGTTATCTCTAGTGTTAGCTTTAATCTCAGCTCTAGTGTTAGTTGATCTGAAGGGACAGCTACAGTTGCTAAAACCTTATTAGAGGAAAAAATCTGCCACTTTAACATGTCGTGACTGAAGTATTTCTGTTTTCCAGTTTGATTAATATAAACATGTTTTTTTAATGTGCTTTTCAGAATTGTTTGCTTTAAAATTGCCTACAACCATATTTTGTCAGTTCCTAAACAAACATATCTGCACTGAACATCTTGTAAAACCAGCTAACGGGTGGTCTGAGCTGAAAGTTTGATGGACAAAGCAACAGTAACTAAGTAAGGCATTACTTAGTTACTCCAAATTTTGAAAACAGTTACTATGTCCCTGAAATGCACCTGAAATTAGCATTCAGTTTACTAAGGTTGTATCTAATCACACACTGGACATGTTACCACTCTGCAGTGAAATAAAAGAGCCATCAACAAGCTCCGATCAAAAAAAGTCCAAAAATGTTAACGAGATGGCCATGTTGAAAAAAATTCTTTCCCACCAAAACATTCAACAGAAAAATAGTTCTATTCCAGCTCAAGAAAACTGACTTTGGGAAGCAATTACACAGAGCGTCAGTGCCATAGGAGTCAGTGCGCAAACTCTGGAGGAGTTCTGAGAGTTGAAATAGTGCTATTGTGTTGAAAGACTGTTATTCTGCTGATAAATATTCTTTCAGCATTTCTTTAAGGCCTCTACGACTGCAGTCTTCCAACAACATGTCAATTCACTCCTAGGCAGACGAAATTCATGCAAACCTGCCCAGTGAATTTTTAGTAGATTGAACAAAATATGTGATCAGCTGCACTTTCAGTATCTCCACCTGTTTTTGTGTTGTGTAAACCTACATATATATATGTAAAAAGGACAGAAATGCTTTTTTGCAATATTTCATGTACTTGCATGTATAGGCTTATACGTGAGTTTCATATATATTACCAGTCATAAATTTAGACACATGTACGTATAGATTTTCCTTGTTTTCATCAGGACATCAAAATTATGTAGTAACACATATGGAATTTGCAGAGACCAAACAAGTGTTTTGGCAGTGACGTACAGTGCAGTTACAGATCACACATTCTGTCGTCATTTTCCACTAAGAGTGGAAAGCTAAAGAGAACTCCTCTGTAACGGAACAGAACCAGCCAGACGCTTGCAGTAAAAATAAGAAATGAGGCTTTACTTAGAAAGAGAAAATTAGTGAAAAAACAGGCAGTGGTCAAATCCAAAAAGGCCAAAATACAGAAAAAGACAAACATAACAAACAATATCAGGCAACCAGATAAGGTTCAAAAGGGCAAAGACAAAAAGTCAAAGTCAAAAAGTCCGAAAACACAGTCAAGAAACACAGAAGACAAAATACAGACAGAAACGCTCAGTAGCTCTACTGAGAGAAGCAATACCTCACAAATATTCTGTGCCTGGGCTTATATTTTATACTACAGCTAGTCATACAACATACATCACAAGTTCAACAGGTTAGTATTCAGGTGAACTGGAGCATTGAATGGTGGATCGGAAAAGTTCAAGAGAGTTCTGGGAAATGGAGTCTTTGTGGACATCAGAGCCAAGAGGATGTGACGTCCTCCTACTTTCACAGTTCTGTTATGTGGTAGGAAGTGGATACGGTATTCGACTAGTGTACAGATAATTATGATTGTAGTACACTGTTAGAAATAAAGGTTCTGTTCAGGTACATTTTTCATTCATCAAGGTATAAACAGTGTAAATGTTCCCTCAAAGGTACAGCAGTGGATTTAAGGTCTGATTGTGAACCTTAAATAAGTTTTTTCCAGGTGAAAAGTTCATATTTGTTCCTTTTCATAACCGAATGTTTTAAAACAGAACAGTAAAATAAAAAAACCTGGAGACGAGACGGGGTGTGTGGAGTCAGTACAGCTTAATATAATTTATTAAGTATATTAAGTACAGCTTAATAAAAATATAATTTCAGTGGATTATGGTATAGTTATGATCCCTGACTAAAGGTACTGAGATGTACCCTTGAGGGTTCCAACCCAGTGACAAGAGGGACACTGCCTCAGTGACAGTTTAGTACCTCTATTTCTGAGAGTGCAATTCTAGGTAACTATACCGTACTTTACCTTACCGTACCTTATCAGTTCCCCTCTATCTTGATGCACTTTTCATCATTCTGTCATGTCACTCCAGATACTTTTCCA